AATATCGACTTTCAATTGTTTTTGTTATTCAATTTAGACAAGAAAGATGGATACTGCGAAAATTCGAGTGATTTTTGAATACGAGTTCCGACGCGGAACTAACGCGGCAGAAACAGCCCGCAATATCAATGCTGCGTTTGGAGAGGGGTCTACTAATGAACGCACCGTGCGATTTTGGTTTAAACGCTTTCGTGATGGAAATTTCGACTTAAAGAACGAGTCACGAGGAAGACCGCCCACACAGGTGAATAACGATGAATTAAGAGAGATAGTGGAAGCCGATCCTAGTCAAACTACCCAGGAATTAGCGGCATGGTTTAACGTTACCTTACCCACAATATTGACTCACTTGCGTCAAATCAATAAAATAAAAAAATACGAAAAATGGGTGCCTCATGATTTGACTGATCTGCAGAAAGAAACGCGTGTTGAAACTTGTGTTGCCTTGTTGAACCGGTACAGAAATGAAGGAATATTGGATCGAATTGTAACATGTGATGAAAAGTGGATTCTTTATGATAACCGGAAAAGAAAAATGCAATGGCTGACCCCAGGTCAAATGCCACAACAGTGTCCTAAAGCAAAACTTACCAATAAAAAGGTAATGGTAACTGTTTGGTGGTCTCAGCATGGTGTTATTCACTATAGTTTTCTCCGATCTGGTCAAGCAATAACGGCAGATGTCTATTGTGCCGAACTCCGAACCATGTTGACAAAACTAGCAGTAAAACAGCCCCGACTCATGAATCGATCTTCACCATTATTGCTCCACGACAACGCGAGACCTCACACAGCACGAGAAACCATTTTGACCCTTCAGGAACTGCAGTTAGAAACCATTCGTCATCCTCCGTATTCACCAGACCTTGCTCCAACGGACTACCATTTTTTTCGTGATTTGGACAATTATCTACGTGACAAGAAGTTTTCTTCCCAGGAGGCAGTACAAAATGCTTTCACACAGTTTGTGCAGTCTAGATCGTCGGAGTGCTATCGCAAAGGCATTAATAACCTTCCCATTAGATGGCAGCAATGTATAGATAATAATGGCAACTATTTTGATTAAATAAATTTGTTAAAAATTTAAAAAATAAACAATTTAGATTTTCAGTACAAATCGGCAATTTCATACTTTAACCCCTATTATTAATCAACATCACGAAAGAGAGAAATAGACACAGAGTTTTCAGTACTTTCACATATATAGGGGAAATACACGAAAACATGCTTGTGTGTGATACATTGTAGCGCTGAAATGACGAACAACTTTTTTATTATTTGGAGTTTGGTTTGCACACATTAACGAGTATTTTCTTCCCATCGGTAAACTTAGACATGTTTAATGAAAAGCAAACATAGGTATGTTGGCTTTGCTTGTTTGTTTGCGTACCAAATGCAACGTGTTTAAATAGGTAGTTAAACACGTTGCATTTGGTACGTTAAACACTAAAGGAAAGCAAATATGAATTTGTGGAACGCGCCAGGTACTTTAGGGCAATAATTTAAAAACGGTCATACTATTTATGCTTGTAGCAAATACCTTATCGAACATGCTCTTTTCCCAGGAGTTACGCCTCAACATTGCACAAATTAAAAAATACGGTTTTTTACCTTTCCTATAATGGACGAAAATTACAAAATTTCATATTTAATTACCGATGAAATGTGATTCCGTTTGTTTTATAATTAGATGTTTTGCAGTTTTCCCCACACCATCGACCGGAACAGCCCCCCATAGTTATCTCTAACTTATCTTTATTACAATAAATACAGAATAGTTTTGGAATATACGGAGACGTACACACGGGTCAGTTGTTGGCGGTGTACTATTAAAATTTTCTAATTTGTGATTTCAGCGCAAACGAGAGTTGATATTTAAAAGTGATATAAGGCCCATTTGCCTGATTAGTTGCCAGGGATGGATGGTTCTTGTTTCATCTCTATTTCTGGTTATATACTCGCTGCTTAACAATAAGTATCTAACTAGGTAATGTGTAAAATACTTCATTGTTCACATTTAATTAATTACCTAGACCTTTGTAGTATAAGAATCGTATGAAAATTAGTAGTGGCATGACTGCAGCGTCTTACTTCTTTTATTATACCAAGTGGCGAAACGAACAAGTCGTGCGCCTGGTGGTAAGCGACACGTCTATCCATAACAGTTGCAGTGCCATTCAGAGCTTTAAGTCGCAAAGATCTTTTGGGCACTGCCACTGCGTCTGTCACCCTGAGACGTAAGTTGACAAGTCACATGTGCCTGTAATTTCACCAGCACCCTTAGAAACAGCACCATGAAATAGGTAAGGTGGCAGTACTTCCCTGGACGACCTCTTTCACAAGAAGCTCTACTGCTACTAAACTTCTATAAGCGTCTAACTTAAAAGCGCCTTTAACATTCGGAAAAGTTATAGATAGACACGACCTGAAAGAGCTAAGCGGTTCGTCCAAATACGCAGAAGCTATACGAGTAGTACATTATTGCAGAGGCGGGGAATAAGGGATTTCATAGGCGAGGCTTATATAGTGATTCTCAAACACTGTGAGGAAATAATAGATGTTTCAGGAACATAATGGCCCTAATATATGGAATAAAAGACCAAAGCTGTATGCTAACAACTTTTTGAGCGTTGGCACACGTCACAAATTACATATAAAAAGGGCCTCTTAATAAACTTAAAGCAAACATTTATAACTATGTTAAAATACATTTTAAACTAATTAAAACTGTAGGCGCTGTTGCCTTTCTTTAGCTCCACTGAGGGCCTGTTCTAGTGACCAGGTAGATGGAGTGTGGATCTCATGAGTGGAGTTGACGGGACCTCAACAATAGAAAACTAAAGAGAAAACGATGTATAATAGAAAAAATGAAAAAAAAAAGTTGTACTACAACTGTAATATTTGACATAGTACCTATGTTTTATTTTTTTTTATTTCGTTATCGCTCTTGTCTAGTCCTTATTTTCGCGACGAACATGGAAAAAAGGCAAAAAAGCAGTAAACAATACCAAAGCAGTTTAGTTTTTTTTAAATAAGCTAAACTGTTGGTTTATTATAGTGTGTTTGTTAAAACTACTATGTTCCTCATACTGTTTGAGAAAATCACTATACCTCTAAGCCTCGGCGGGAATGACGAATGCTTGACTCGTATTTATACAACTCATACTCGTCCAGCGATCCCTTACTTCCCGGCCTCTGCAATAATATACTATAATTTGCACGATATGAGTATTCGAGTATGCTTGTTTCTGGCACTGTTTACGGATTATCAGGCAACATTTATTTGATTAAAAACTGTATTAAATTATGCTACTAAATAGTATGTATTTGTACTCCTAAATTTGTTATGTCACTGTCTTGTTTTCATTTTTTTTTGCATGAATTTGTCTACTAGTGTAAACGTGTTTACTAATGAACGTATATAGAAATATGCAGAGTTTATTTACCTAAATCTAGTACTTCAATTTAATTCTGTACAGCATCGTAAAGATGGGTGCACATTTGCGACAGTTCAACGCACCGAGATTCGGTGAAATTTCATGGGTAGTTGTTACGTAAATGTGGAAAAACTATGGCAATTTCAGAGACCGTTAACTTTCAACACCGAATTTCGTGACGTATTCCAACCGAATCCGTGACTATCGAAATCTAGAAAACTCGGACCCGTGTCGTATGTCGCTTGTGCTCTAAGTCCGATTCTTTCGAACCAAGGAAATATGAATGTCGCTTGTACACCTAGAGAAAAAATGACTGTGCATTTCGGACAGTCATTAATTCGGATTCAGACCTAACGAATCGGATGTAGTACGCAAAGATTCTAACAGATACGCGTGACAAAAACACAAGTGTGGACGATTTTTGTCAAATGCACAAATGATACACCCTAATGTGACGCAGCAATACACGAGTCGGAAACGCCATGTACATTTTACCGTGTCGTACAATTATGGCCTAGCAAAAATGTACAACACCGCGTAACATTGCTAAATGTGGACCCACCTTAATGCGTATGTATAACGTTTAACGTCACTTGTACAGTCAGCTTCGATATTATCTCAGCGTTCAAACTGACTAACCAAAAATCACCGAGTTTAATAAAAAACAACTTTCTGTTATCAATAAAACTTGTGACATACCCTCAATGATTTGCAACTGAATTTTAGTTTCACTCATAAATCACCTTAATGTCATTGACCAAAAGTTGATTTTTAATAAAATAATTAGATATTATTGGTTAGTTTTAGGCTTAAATAATTTTAACGTTTTACCTTTGTTAATGTAACTTTCCACGTCAAAAAAGAACTAGGAGAATTCCAAGAATGCGTTGACCATTTTGCAATGAATGGCCATTTGAAAGCAAAAGGCCATTTTGCAATCAAGTGACCATTTGCAACCAAGTGGCCACTTACAACGACGGGGACATTTATAACGTAATGGTCAATGTGTTGTCGTGTAATTGTATTTAAAATTTTACAGTTTAGAATAATGTTTTCCAGGAAGTAGAAGCAGAGAACAACACGCTCGTGGTAGTCCTAGGATGCGACGCAACGGAGTTGCGATTGCTGCTTACTTTCATGTACACCGGTGAAGTGACCGCGTCCAAGAAAGTGCTGCCGTCGTTGCTGCGACTTGCCCAGACGCTCAAAGTTTCCGGACTGACTGACGCTGACACGGTAAGTCCATACTTTACATCATGATCTTCCTGTCCTTCTGATCGTATCGATGGCACACACTATAATGCTCGCCATTGTGGTGAAAGGGTTTGCTAATAAGCCAAGTCAAGAGTACACATTGATGCGTACGAGCGAGGGAAATGTGTCAAAATCGAAGGTAGTAGAAGTCTGTGGTCCTATCTATGTAAATAAGAAACGTTTTTAACCCATTAACGCCCAAGCAAAATTTAGCGATAAAAGTTTTTCCATGAGCCTTTGCAAAACAGCGTACTTATGAGAAAATTATGAAAAAAAAGTTTTATTTTATTTTATATGGAAAAAATGCCGTCCTCGAATGGGGACACCAGTGTCCCCATGTTTGAGCCCAGGCTCAAACAGCATGAAAAAAATTCTAACAATATTTTGTCGGTGTACAATGACTTCGAGTACTTTTTATATTGCCAACCATTGACTTACAATTATATGGACGTCGGGTCCGCGCTAAAAAGTGTCCGAACTTATAGGGCGTTAAAATCGTTTGAAGAGCGTCATTCACGCACTAGTCTTCGTTTGTTCGACTGACAGCGAAGCAAGCAAAATTAGACAGTAAAAGTAAAACGTTTTAGCTTTTTCATATTCCTTTACATGTCACTACGTTTAAATAGGTTGACTTAGGACATTTTTTTCGTGGTTTTTGTAATAGACCCGTCGTCCATTTATTTGTAAGTCAATATTGCTAACGCGCTTATGTTTGTGGTTCAAAAGTATATCGTAGCTGTTAAACCAACTTCTGAGGATAGTGACCAACACCAAATTACTGTATGTAGATTTAGCACTAAAGAAGAATCGATAGTGCTATCTCTACATTAGCAGAAGCTAATTAATAACATTAAAAACATTAATAACAAAAAAATATGGGTACTTAAATTAGTGACCTTAATCAGTTCTCTATACAGAAGTTCTTCGGTATATGGTTTTATCCGTATAATACGCTTTATTGACTGCGTTTTCATTACAGAACTCCACCCTGACACCGACTGAAGAAGATACCCAGTGCAACTCCCCGATCAATTTAGAACTAAACAAGCAAGAACCTAACGATAAGACCTTGGCCAGTGAAAACTCAAATTGTAGCTCTAAACAAGATGACATCACATCTCCGGTAGAACTCAAGGAACCTTGTGGAATCAGCGATTTCGTGGCCAGAAACGAGAAAGATAGACTAAGCAAACTAGACCAGATAGTCCAGAATTTGTATAGCACTCATAAGATTGGTAATCCACCAATAGCTACACCCGTGACACCACCCATACCGACGCTAGGAGGTGAGTTTAAGGTTTTACATAGACGATTGGGTTTCAAACAACAAAAGTATCTGTAGGTGAGAGGTAAAGAACTCTAAATGCCAAATAGTAATTTTTACTACAGAGCGTTTTAAGACGCCATACAGCGTCGAGGCCTTCTATATTACAATTATGAAATTAATTAGCTAGCTAGGTGCAGTGCGGGCGACATAGGTCCATCCAGCAACGCGTCTTAGTTATCACTGCCGAGTACCGACCTTCGCATGCGTAAAAGAGAAGAAACTACCATAAGTTTGCGCGCATTCCGAAAAAGGGTTTATTTCCAAAATTAGGTTCAAAATGGAAATAATAAAACAACCACGGTTTTCATTATTGAATTATACCTTATTCTTCAAAATTCTATAAATTTTACTTGGTAGGTACAAGTGCCGAGACGTACATGTCGTGCACCTGGTGGCAAGCGACACGCCTATCCATAACAGTTGCAGTGCCACTCAGAGCTTTAAATGGCAAAGATCTTAGGGGCACATGACAAGTCCCATGTGCCTGTAATTACACCAGCACCCTTACCCTTCCAATCCGGTATGCGGTAATACTCACATTACTGCTTACTTGGCGGCAGAAATAGGTGGGGTGGCAATACTTCCCTGGACGAACTTTCACAAAGAGCTCTAATGCTACTAAGTTTTTGACCTCCATCGCACCTGATGGAAAGTGACGATAAGATACCTGAAGGAAGTCGAGTGGCACAAGGGTCCCGCACCCACGTTGAGTTGCAGAAACCAGCCCGTTCCGCTATACCATAGTCAGGGAAGGAACGATGCGGGTAATTGCACTTAAAACCTGCTATTAAACCATTTGCTCAAACAAAACAGTTTTTCCCGCTTCTTCTTCAGTGACTCGCCTTGAGGTCCTTTGTCTCTCACCTACAGATATAGTCCGCCCACCCACCTCTTCCATAAAATGGTTGCGTAAACCAACAAAACAATTTAAAAATATCAAGTATATAACTTTTAATCGGCGCTTTTGCTATCCGATAAACAATCAGATAAATTTCAATTCAAAAAGTCGTAATGCCTCTTAATTTGTTTCTCAAACTAACTTGGTAACAACAGCGGCAGCTTGTGCTGTCACAGCAAATATGGATTTTCCATAACATAACTATATTGTATTCCAATTAAATACAGAATTTATGAGATATGCACACAGATGCAGCTCACGTGTTACATTTAAGAATGGAATTTGATATCGTTGAAAAAAAATTAAATTTAAAACTGTTTATTTCTATATAAACCATTGACTTCCAAATAAATGGACGACGGGTCTAATACACATTGACAAGTAAAGGAATATGAAAAAGGTAAAACGTTGAATTTAAATTGTAATGTCATCGCAGTACTGTCTAATTTTGCTTGCTTCGCTGTCAGTCGAACAAAACAAGACTAGAGCGTGAATGACGCTCTGTATACGATTTTAACGCCCTATAAGTTCGGACACTTTCTAGCGCGGACCCGACGTCCATATAATTGTACGTCAATGATATAAACGTACAATTGTTTTGGTCACTATTCTAAGCTATAATCTTAGCACTTTAACAGCTTCCCACCTTAACCTATACGCGTTACAATTTGTTCATTTACTATAAATCTAATTACTTCCATTTGCGATCTTTTCCACAATAAGTCGGTACTCAATACCTCGGGTAGAAAGTATGCCAAGATCCTGTTCCCATACACATTGTTATATTTCCGTAATTGAAATGTACTCTCTTTAGGCCATATACGTAGACATGGTGCACTCTTTTTTCTTTCTACATATAATATTTTTTCTTGGTTTTCAGTTAATATAGCCAATTTAACCTTCTCATAGACATTAAGCACTTTACAATGTTGAAATAATTTTTCATAATCATCTCTATATTTATACTTTATTCTTCGAGGTACTATATTCGTTCATATGACCACCGCGAGTCTATTGAAGAAGAAGTGCAACAATCATGTAACGTAGGTCGAATTAGACTTAACTAGGCTATTGGATTCCTTTTTATGGGGTTACGTTAAGTTGTTGCTTTATGCCAACTACGTTAAATGAGCTCAGGGACAATATCAAACGCGAAATTGCTAACGTTACGGCCGATATGTGTGGAAGAGTAGTGCAAAATTGTCTCCAAAATATCGAACGCTGCAATCGTGCTTGTGGTGGTCATATGAACGCGATCGAATTCCATTTTTAAATGTAGTATTCTGTGTTTTTTTAACCGACTTCAAAACAGGAGGAGGTTCTCAATTCGACTGTATTCCATAATGGTCCCATTTCATTTCGAAGAAAATCATCCACTCTAAGGATGGCTGTTCACGCTTAAAGATTCATTTTTATAAATAGCGCCTAAATTTTACGTAAGGAGCAATTATTTTAATGGTTGATTTTGCTATTTCTCGAATTCAAGGCGCTTTTCGCTCAGTATTACTTTGAGTAGTGAGAACAGATTTTTATTATCTCCTATGTCAAGTCCTGTATAGTAACGAATTTAAGGATATTTCAATAAAACTTAGCAAATAGACGTCATTCCACGTACTTTTGAATCGGTTTTTTCAGTACTCTGTACTGAGATCCCTATTGAAAAAAAATCGATAGTAAATACACAAAAAAAAACGATTTCACGCGTCCTTGTTTTAGATACGGAACCGTTTGACCGCAAGTACCGCGTGAACAGCTCAGTGTGTACGATCTGCAACAAGCGCCTCAGCAACCAGTACAACCTGCGCGTGCACATGGAGACGCACGCGGGGCGTCGGCACGCCTGTCGCGCCTGCTCACACGTGTCGCGGTCCCGCGACGCGCTGCGCAAGCACGTCGCCTACCGACACGCCCGTGCCGATCTACAGAGAAGCGACATGTGATGTTTCAACTGGTTACTTGTTACTAAGCCTTTTTTTGGTAAATGTTACTATCAAGGCCAGGTAGGCGGAATTTACTACTCGTCACAAAAAAAATCGTAAACGCCTACTCAGGACTAAATTAAATTACGCGAACGTAATTTCAGCTACTTAATTCTGCTAATTTAGCCCATCCGCGTACTGCACCCGATTCTTTACGTTCCGAACCCGAAACAAATCAAGAAAACTCCGACTCACTTCGCTTGTGCACTAAGTCCGACCCGAAAAAATACGAAATTCCCATGTACACCTAGAGATAAAATTATCCCTGTGACATTTCGGACCGTCATTTCTCGGATTCGGAACTGGGGGTCTACTCTCGATCTCCGTCCGAAACAATTACTGCCAAATAAGCAATACTTGACCAAATGAAAAGACGCGTGATGCGAATGAAGCTTCATACTGGATACTTGTCTTTTAATTTTGTCGAATATTACTTATTTGACAGTAATTATTTCGGACGGAGATCGAGAGTAGACACCCTAATACGAATCCAATGAGTGCGCAAACGCACTTAGGCTTAATTTACATTGACGTGAGACGGTATGAAAGCGAATTTTTGTAACCATGCATTTTGAACTTCATATCGAATATCCCCGCAGCTGTGGTATCGTATCTATAGTTTATTTTTTTTGAAGGCGGAGTAAAATTTTTAAATAAAAATAAAATAACATTTTTATTTATTTTCGTTATATAGTCATGTGGTTGATGTCGACAGTTCTATCGATGGATTGTGAAAGAAGGTAAAATTTTGCCAAATGTCTTAATTCTTAATGTTACGACGTTCTAATGATTATTAGTTGCGTTCTTGCCTTCTCTATTATTTGGACAGTATTCCTTCTAGAATCGAAATCAATTTATATTAATATAAGTACATGTTAATAAGAACAGGTGGATTTCATTATCTTTAATGAATTAAAATGAGAAACACTAAAATATGTCTTCTCTTTGTTCTAAATGCATGTATGAGCTTACAAAAAATGACAATTCAAATGAACCTGTGCCAAGCAGTTGGACGAATAACGGGCTGTTGATGATTCAAATGAAACATGATCGGCTATTTATTGCATAAGCGTGACCAACGTTTAGTCGATAGAATATTTATCGACTGCAATCACTAGGTGCTTGCAAGCGGGCAACACTTTTGCGCTGTGAACTGTCATTTTACTCCATCTTCAAAAAAGACAGACTATATAAAAATCACAGGGATCATTTTATCTCTAGGTGTACAAACAATATTCGTGTATTCTCGCATTCGGCTCGTACTTAGCGACGTTCGAAGTGGGCTGGAGTTTTCGTATTCGGAACGAATACGAATGCGAATGTTGTGCGCAAACGCACTTATCCGTTTATCTGCTGTAGCTTAATTATGACATTTGGTAAACAAACAAATTTATGAATCCATCGCGACAAGTGAAGAGGTCCGTATTAATAAATCCACATATGCAATTCGATATTAAAATTTTAGTATTTTTTAAGTTATTGAATGTCAATACGTTTGACCACCGTAATATTCAATTATTTTTGTGAAATTACTCAACTAGTGTTGTAATTATTAATTAATACAAAGATCGAACAGTTAGAATAAAATATTTCGAACGGGCTGAATTCGTACCGAAGTCTTCCAGCAAACCGTGGCAGACGCTGTGATAACTAAGCCACGGAACGAACTAGAGGATCTTAGATCGACGGTTTTTTTTTCTACGTTCGATCTTTGTATCAATAACAACATGTAACACGACATGATATTTGTTTCTGAGTTATCAATGTCATTTTCTAATTGGTTCTAACACAAAAACATGAAAAAATCTTTATTTCCCTGCAAAAACTTTGTTTTGTGGTCAGGGCAGCTCCCATATCTTTTCTGCATAAGTTTTGTTTATAGTGACCCTCCCTATCAACCTCTTGCTTATACGGGAACAGCAAAATGAAGTCAGGTCCTGATCTCAGATCAGTCTGTTTGCACGGACTTCATCCGGTTCTCAGAAGGCTTAGTTCCTTAGGTGAGCCGCGTCAGGTGCACTTACAGCACCCTCCCTATTTTCCAGATAGTTACCGGAGCTGTAGGCACGCTCACTTCCCGTTGCGTGTTGCACAACTAACGGTTGCCACCGCTAAGCCGTCGACTCTAAGTCAACT